AATACTAAAAATGCGAATTGGAAATCTGCAAAATTAACATTTCGCGCCACAGATGTAGAAAATACAATACTTGAGTATTTTGGCTTAAGAAGAGAAGCATGAGAATTTTTTTTTTAGAATTACACAAACTAGGGCAAACAAAAAAAGATCTGGCTTGTGAACCCGAACTTTTTATTGAACATTTTTTGTTGTTGAAATCATGTCGATTGAGGCGATTTTACATATACAACATTACCGCTAAAGCCCCTTTCACAATTGGCGCCTCACTCGTGCGATAATTTTTTTTTTTCGAAAATATTTTTTTCGTCCTGTTGTAGAAGTGTTGTCTTTGAGTCGCAAGCAATATATACAATCGTAAGGCCATCAATATGACAAGTCTGTCTTGAACGTTTTGGATTTGCCTTCTCAGACTTAGCAAATGCAAGAGCCTCCCAGGAGCTATTGGTCGAGCAGCAGCCATGTTTACAGTATGGATGGTCCAGACATTTGGGATGAAAGCTCAGGAGTTCTCGAGCTTATATTGAGGGTGAAAAAAAAATCGTACAACGTTGCAAAGGGGGCAAGACAGGTCTTCCAATAGTCTTAGGGTGGTACAACGGACTCGTACGACAGGACGCATCATCGTACGACATGAAAATACTCGCGCAACACTCGTTCGGGGTCTTACGAGTCCGTGCAAAGTCGCACAACACTCATACTGCCTGTCGTGCAATTATTTTTCATCGCGTCAGTCGCTCAAAATATCGGAGCAGCACGTTTTTTTTTCCCGACCGAGATGCGACCATTTTGTCGCATCTGGATCGTACAATAAGTGGTACAACGGCTACAATGAGTCGTACAACGGGAAAAATTTCGAGTCGCAAGCCGTTGTAGTCTGTTTGGCACCAATTGTGAAAGGGGCTTTACACGAAACTACACGAATACACCTCACAGCGGGTGAGAATTGGCGCCACCACTTGGTATATATCCATAATCGATGTATACTAGTTCTGGGGCCCGTTTCATTTAACCATGGTTGCAAGTACCGCGTTTCAGATCTTATCACATTTGAACATGATTTTTGGTGTTTTAAGGTTGCCTCTGAGATGGTTATTCCTTAAATAAATCCTTCCGGGCCACGCCGAAGTTTACATGGTAAAAACGTACATACAAATGATGTGCTCTTTCTCTCAGATAAGGACGAACTGTTATTTAAATGAAATTATCTTTAAAAAAAATAACCATAGGCTCTTCTGATAGATGCTTGTGTGTATTATGGATTCACGTGTGATACTTGTTTTGCATATTCTTCGCATTCTACAGGTTGGCGACGTTGGACTTGATCATAAGTCGTGGGTCAGGGCGCAGGATATGACCATGGAACGACCAGCTTTGAAAGCAGATAGTGCGCACCCCGGATGTGACGTAGCTGCAGAGACTGCCGCTGCCCTGGCCGCTATATCAATCGTCTTCGACGTCGGTGAGAGCTCGATATTTAAAAATATAGTAGCCCTCTAGTGACGAAGTAGGTTACTTCTGTTACGAACTATCGCGTTTCATGTCCCACTGATCTATGCAATATAGAGGGGAGGCAAGGGGGTAGCTGGTACGGTTTTACGGGAAATAAAAAGGGCGTTTTACAATTTACAAGGAAAAAAAAGACGTTTTTACAGTTTACAGTGTTAAAAAAAGGAACATTGAATGGTCCGAAGAGCTCTCCGGCTCAAATTATCCACCATTGCT